TTTTTTTTTATGTAAAAACATTTAGTTAAAAAGTAATATGGTTAAACCCTTAGGAGGTACCTAATTGAAATATTTAAACAAAATTTAAAAAAGCATTTTTATATGTTTTACGTCATTATGATGAAATTGATTCAATACCTTTGCACAAAGTATTGCATTTCGGTCATGTATTCTTACAAAACAAAACATTTATTCTTTAGCTATCTACTTTTTAAAACTAAAATTGCACATTTTTTAATCTAAACTAGGTATTGGCACGCCCCAATAATAATCCTCTTCCCTTTCCGCTCCGCATAATTGTTGCGGACTTGGGTACAACTTAGCCCAGACTAGTAATTTTTCCTTTTCTGGAATCTCCTTAAATTCCAACTCTTTACCAATAAGCATTGCTCGCAAGTTATAATACTTCGTCACCGCATCCCATATAATCGGATCCGATTCATCGCAGTCCGGATCACCACTCCGCGCGTAGGCGGTCCACATACCAATCATGCGTCTTATAGTTTTATACTCGGCTGTGTTTGTAAATAATTTACGAGAGTTTTTCGAATAAAATAGGTACGACAATTCATCGGCATGCGCTACGCCGCGCACATTATCTTTACCGCAATATTTCGCGCGGTAAAAATTGAAATCCGGTGAATCGAAGTCGAAACGATAGAGAAAGGTAGGCGCACGTGCGAATGTTAGGCGTGACAAAATTGTACGATGAAAATCATGCCAAAAGATTTTAAAGCTAAAAATCTAAAAAAGGAAAAGGGACATGTGTAAAAATCATTATTGTCAATATTAAGAGCACACACACTCACATCCAGATACTTAAACAATGAATAGTCGTTGGGTTCTTCATCGCCAAAATGTAATTTCAGCAGAGTTATGCCCAATTTCTTCACATCTTTGTGCTTACGGATCCGACGCACTTCTTCAGGCAGTATCAGTTCCGGCTCGCGGAATAAACGCTGTATTACAATCGGGTTCTCCTTAAGTACTTTATATAAAAGTAACCCCTCAAAGGAAGATCCACCCAACATCATTGACAAGTGATTACTCCAAGCCTTCTTTTGCATATCGAAGGGGCGTTCAGGTATTACGCAACCCTCTTCTACGTACGGCTCCACAATTGGACCAAAAGCAAACATATACGAATTGCGCTGGTCCTCTTCACTCAGCAAGGAATGCACTACTAATTTTTCAGGTTCGAGGGTGCTAATATATTCGAATACATGTGCATCAATATTATCCCCTTTGTAGCCGTGGAAATGTGCTAGTCGAAATGCAATATTCAGTTGTGGCATGTTGGCCCAAAAATTAAGCGCGGTACCCGACATGGCAATGGTACGCTTGAAGAGATCACGTCCTTGCTCCGAGAGCATCAGCAAGTGTGTTGAAGCAGCGCCGGCGCTCTCGCCAAACAGTGTCACATTTGCAGGATCGCCATTGAAATGCGCTATATACTTTTTTACCCATTTCAGAGCGAGCACTTGATCTTTGAGACCAGCATTGCCGGGTACTTTTAGCGAAGGATCGCGCAGACTAAGGAAGCCTAAGTGTGAAAGGGAAATATACATAAATCTCTCTGCATAAGAAAAGTGAAATGTATGAAACAAAAATTTGTACTCACCTAAGGAATCGAGTCGATAGTTAAAGGTGACCAGCACCACATCTTCCATCATAAAATAATCGGGTCCATATAAGTCTCGATTCGCGGCGCCCATACAAAAAGAGCCGCCATATATAAAGACCATAACTGGTAGAGGCTTTGAGGATGTTAGCTGCGAAATGAGCAAATAAATGTTTCATTATACCATGCCTCTTAAATTAGTAGTGAATTAATTATGCCGTGTTCATATATTCAGTTAATTAATCAATTGGTAAATTAAAGTGCTTGAACTTATTTTGTAATTGATTGCAAGATTTGCCCCTAACAAACATACATACATGCAGAGAAAATTAAATAAAAGCTTGTAATAAAACCGACTTAAATTCTCTAGTAAAATTTTCAAATTAATCAAGTAAAAATTTAAGACTATCTACCATTAATTTCTTCATGATCCAATGATCGTATATAAATCAAATTAGCGTGGGATCACCTCTAAAAAATCGGTTAACGTGGTCCAATGTCCAAAAAAATGCAGGCATTTAAAAATTTCCATGTGGAAATGATTTTAATGGCCATTTTTTAATGATACGAATATTTCTAAATGCCTAACTTTGTCATTATAATTGTTGTCATTTAATACTTAGTTAAAATCCTGCATAACACAATTTGATTTGCAAGTATTAGCGAAAAGAAAGTTAAGTCAAAACGAGCCAACAAATTTTGTAGTAGCAATATGTCAAAGTGGACACCAGTCCTTATAATTTGTTTTAAAAATCTAGCCATTCGAGTACCCTTAAAACCTCGAAATTTTAAGCGCAAAGTAAAACTTTTGAGTCTTTCGAGATTTTTTTCAGTACCAATTAATTATTCTAAATTAAATTTTTATCAACGCTGCCATTCAAATCTCAATTGAAACCCAAATTTACCCAATTTAGCTGGCTTTTGAACATACTATAATGATTTTTGATGCATCATACCTTTTTTGTATAAACATTTAGGTACAGGCAATCCTCAGCGCCCTCTACTTTATTAGTATCCGGATTCTTTTGTAAAGGCCACCTAGCACACTTTGTACAGTCTTTCACATCCGTCCATGATTCGACAGCATGTGGCGCACGAAAACGTAACTTGCCCAGCGGTGGTTTAGCGTAAGGTATACCTTCAAAGCTGTAATATGTTTGATCGTAAATCGACGTACAAACTCGGCCTAATATTTTGCCCAACGGCAGTGTGAGGAGATACTCTTCTTGTCTGTAAATAATTAAGAATTTTATTCAATTACAGGCTTAGGGCCGGTTACTCAATGTCTGGTTAACGCTAATCTCCCGTTAAACATAGTTATCGACGTTACCGACTCCCTGTTGTACGATGTTTAACCGCAGATTAGTGTTAACCAGACATTGAGTAACCGGCCCTTAGTGTATATTTTTTTCACATACATATTTATGTACTTACGTGCTCATTATGATTTCTAGGTGCACCTTAGTCTAAGAGTATACATATTATGCGGCCAGTTTTTCTCTCTATTACCCGAAAGTGGCGCACAGCGCCGTCGAAAAAAATGCTCTTCTTTAAATAGTCACCAAATAATGCCACACAATAATCTCTTTCTGATATTTCATAATAATCGAAGCGATATCTAAAATTTTGATAGCTTCTTTCGACTAATTCAATAATGTAAATGTTTTATTTCATTTCGATTTTTAATTAGTTAAATATTTTATCACAACAAATAGGCAAAGAAAACAACAGAAAATATTCAAATAAAATGAAGTATTATTACGTCTAATGAAATGAATGACTGAAAAGAGACTAGTTGCTTTGAAAAAGCAGCAAAGCAAAAGAGTCACATTGAAATCACATGCGCTAGCAAAAATAGAAGCATATAAAATACATACGTAGCGCTAGTGAGAAAATCACTTTCTAAGCTTTTCATTGATCGCGGGCACATTGACCCTCACAGAAAGCATGAATGTAGCTGAGCACCGCTTGATCACTGAGCTCATAAACTTTGTGCTTATTTTACGCTCATTTTTATATACCACTCTTCTATTTACTCAAATACTTTGTTGCTATCAGTGATTCCCCTCGCTTGATAATTTGTGGGCGTATAAAATGAATAGCGAGAAAAAGGGCCTTATAAATAAAAAAACTAAGCAATTACTTTTTATTGAAATTTCAGATCTATTACTCGATTTATTCAAAAAAAATTTAAGTAAAAGGTCAGGAATTTTAAGAAAAAGGCCAATGTTGCTACGTAAAAATTTGTTAAATTTAATAAAGCAAAGTACTACTGTAATCAAGAGAGAACCTTCGTAATTTCTTTCCAATTGCACAATATTTTTCCTGAGAAAAAGCTTTGGATAGCGTAAAAAATCTATACATATAATAAAACTGTAACTGACCACATTTCTGTGCATTTTAGATGTTAAAGAAAAATTAATATGAGAGATTTTTTTTAGAGCAATGAAACCCAAATCAAGAATTTTTGTCAGTCTGATGTTTGTACGAGCATCACTCAAAAACAATTACATGAAATTGAATGCAATTTTCACCGGAGTATTACTAGAGCTCTAACTTTATACATAGAGATTTGCTACGTGTTTGAAAATTGCAGTTTAAGTAAATTGACAAGATAAAGTAATTATTAAAATATGGCTGTCAAAATAAAGAGGTTTAAGAAGGCTTAGAGCCGAAAATATTTTTGTAGAGGTTGCCACATGTTTGAAAATTTTAATTTAATTTAATTGATAAGATAAATTAAGTATTGCAATATGGGTATCAAGCAACACAAAAATACTGTTAAGGCGCAATGAAGCACGCCGGGTATTTAGTAGTAGTAAATAAGTATATTTAAAGTCTTCATGGGAAAAGTTTCACTGAATCAGAAATAGTAGGCCTAATAATAAAAAATTCAAAAATATCACCGTAATTCCAGGGTGCGAATTTTATGAAAGTTGCCTTTTTTTCTTCCAAGAGGTAGAATATCTAGTTTTGCTTAAAAATTCACACGATTAAGCTTTCCCTGATTCTGTTATTGCTTTGAATTAAGTGGGTAAGTGAATCTTAAAAAAAAAAAATTTTACTCAAACACATTTTTCTGGGAACAAATTGTGTGTTTAAAGGACAGATAAATTTTACAAGCTATTGGAGAAAACGATGCTTAGAGCTTCTATTTGAATTAAAACTCGGACGAAGAAGATACTCAATCAAAGATTCAATCAAATATCAAATTCTTAATTGTTCATATAATTTTTTGTCGTTTTTTTTTGCAAAATAACCATTTCTTAAATAAATGTGTATCTTTTTCTATTTTTTGGTTTTTAATGCCCATCCATCGATTTCCTTCATTAGTAACTTGACTTTTTTAACAGAACAGGCTTTAGCACAAATACAAAAATTTGGCACAGAAGCTGTAATTTTTGAAATTTTTCCCTTGTTAAAGTTTTATTTTGTTTTCATTTATTCATAGAAAATTAAAAAAAAACAAGTACGAAAGTCTAAGTTCGGGTGGAGCCGAACATTTAAATACCCGGCGCAAGTATTAAATATATGTTTTTTCACCCTTCCGAAAGCTACCGCTAGATGGTAAGCAGGGGTGTATAAATTTTGAGTAAATTATCGTCTTTAAATTTCGAAATATTGCAGTTTCAAGCATTTTTTATTTTTTTTTTGCTTTTGTGTGGCAAGCGCAATAACTGTACCGAGTTTGGTACAAATTGGTATAACGGTTACCGAGATACATACATATATGTGATCATAAGTGGGCGGTGCCACGCCCATTTTCCAAAATTTACTATAAACGCATTTCTTGGTAAAGAATTGTTGCAAGCATCAATTTTGAATGAATTAGCTTTAATATTTCCTGATTTATCGAAGATTTTGTATTTCTCTAAATTACCGTTATATGGGATGTGGGCGTGGTTATTGCCCGAATTTTTAAATTTTCGGCCATTTAGTATGCTGTACTATGGCCAACGACTGTGCCAAGTTTGGAAAAAATTGTTGCAGCGGTTACCAAGATATACACATGTAACCATAAGTGGGCGTGGCTACGCCCATTTTCCAAAAATTTATAATGTTCTTATTTCTCGTCTAAAAATTGTTGTAAATATCAATTTTGAGTGAATAATCTTCAGTAGTTACTAAAATATCGCAGTTTTCGTATTTCCGAAAATTACCGTTATATGGGATGTGGGCGTGGTTATTGTCCGATTTTTTAAATTTTCGGCCATTTAGTATGCTGTACCATGGCCAATGACTGTGCCAAGTTTGGAAAAAATTGGTGCAGCGGTTACCAAGATATACACATGTAACCATAAGTGGGCGTGGCTACGCCCATTTTCCAAACACTTACAATATTCTTATTTTCCGTCTGAAAGTTATTGTAAATATCGATTTTGAGTGAAATATCTTTAGTAGTTACTAAAATATCGCAGTTTTCGTATTTCTGGAAATTACCGTTATATGGGAAGTGGGCGTGGTTACAATCCGATTTTGCCCATTTTCAATGCCAACCTACCTTGGATAAATGGAAACCTATATACCAAAGTTTGTTGAGATATCTCAATTTTTGCTCGAGTTATCGTGTACACGGGCGGACGGACAGACAGACATGGCTTAATCGACTTCTCTGTTCATTCTGAGCATTTATGTATACATTTGTCTATATATATCTCGATTCGTTTTGGCTGTTACAAACAACCGTTATGTGAACAAAATTAATATACCCGTGTGCACAAGTGCGCTCCGAATTTGTGTGTAGTTGTTGCAACCTGTTCAATTAGAGTTGTTTTCGCATTTTATGTAGCTTCGTACCCTGCAAAAATCGCGACTACTCCATGGATGCGTGTAAAGTGTACTCCCTAAGGATCAAGGAGTACTCCAAAATTAACCACATTTCATATAAAAAATTTTGTCCAATTAACATTGCGATGTCCTAGGGCAGGACCATATACTCCATCCCTGCATTACATCAGAGTAGCACAAAACTACTCCAACATATTAACAATGGCATTGTTGTTATATTTTTTCGTTTGTACACGCTTTTGTTCTTCACTTCTCAAATGCTTTTTCGAAATTAATAAAAACCAAGCCAAAAATTAAAAATTACATGTTGCCTCTGATGGCATTCGAACCCGAACATGCTGGGAGCTAAGAACTAACAGCGAGCATCTCTACACGTTCAGCTACAGCCAGACATGCAAATGTGCTTTCAAATGCTCAACTTCAATGACATTTCGTTAAAACACGAGCAGTGATCGGATAACAAACAATAAGCTGGCGCAGAGACACGAGTTGGTCCGATACAGCATGACAGAGGAACACTTTTGTAAGTACTCCAATTTACCACAAGTAGACTACATGGTCCAACGAATTTTGCAGGGTATTTGAACTGCAATTCTATAATAGAGATAAATGTGACGATGAAGAAATAAACGATAACGATTAAGACAACATATTACGTCATAATCGAAGATAACGACGAAAATTAAAACAACGAAAAATATATAAGAATAGGAGTAACTGAAAGTGTAAGATAACCTATTGAAATTTTTCGATAGAAATCGAAATAAATTCCTTTATAAAAATTTGGTTGTAGATAGCGTTCGAAAAATATGTAGCTATCAAAACTAATCGAATTATCGAAATTTATAGCGGTATCCAAAGTTTAATTAATATTTTCGATTAATATCGAGAAATATATATTTTTGAGTTATCGAAATCCATCGAGCCCTTGAAAGGTACAATTTTGGCTTTTTGAAATTTTGGTTTTTTGAAATTCATTGAAATATTGATATGTATCCAATTATTGAAGTCTATCGACAAACATGTACCGGGTAAATTTAAAGACCTGCAAAGATATAGTCATTTTTTAGTTCCACTAAGCTAAGCTAAGTTAGAAAACTTCTCCAAGGGTTTTATAAAACTAGAAAAAAACGGTCGAATTTTGACAGTAACTGGCACTACTAGTACTTAGTTAAGCGCTTAAAACTCCTTACGAGTAGTAGGCATGCTGCACGAATGCCATGCTCCTTCGATTCGTCTATGCTTGGTTGACAACAGCAAATCCCTCCGCGTAGATAATGGAAAGAAAACGACCATCATATCGACGCCTCCAAACTATATCATATCACCTTACACATATGATGTTATTTATTTAAACAAAAGATATCTTTATCTTTATTTAATAATCCAGAATATTTTTTAGAAGTTACTTAATTTTGTATATAAGTCTATAATAAAGTACAGAAAATTTGAATACAATTCAAAACAATCTCAATCCCTCGTCCTTGAAGTACTCATCCCATACCTTACATTTTTCCAATTCAGGCCAATCGATGAACGTGAGCTCGTTACTAATATTTAAACATTTTCGTTCGTCATTTGATGCCAGTGGCTCCCAAACTATGGGTTTAATCTTATCAACATTGGGATCAGATTTAGCAGCAAATGCAGTAAGTAAATCCATCATTAGTACGATGGTGTTGAACTCTTCAGAATCGCGTGCCAACTTAAAAGACTGCGGTACATAAAAAACATAGGCAAGTTCATCCACATGAACAACACCGCGTACTCCATGTCCACAACACTTGATGCGATACAAATTAAAATCCGGTGAATCGAAGTCGAAGCGGTATAGATATGTGGGCGCATGCACGCGACCGAGGCGTGCACTCATAAAGCGATGCATTGGATGATACATGAAATCGTGCGACACCAACTGTAATGATGAATGTAAGAATGATAATAATCTACATATCTTCAATAGAGACTACTTACGCGCATAACATCCATAACATTTTCCAAATTCACCTCCTTCTCTCCCATATGCAACTTTATGAGCTTTCTTGCCAATTGCTGTTGCGTCGCCAAATCACACGAGGTTCCAATCTCATGCGAGAATAATTTTTCCGGATGCAATTTCAAGATCTCATATAGGTTTGGATATGTTGTGAAGAATCTGTAGCGCGCTAGAGATTCAAAGGAAGTCGCCCCCAACATTAACGGTTTACTATAAAACCAAGCTTTCTCATCTGCAATTACTTCAAATGGGTCTTTGGTAATTATAGCATCCGATACGCTGGCGTTTTCTTTGACGGGTAAGAAGGTAGGCGCCATATTTGGGTCCCTTCCCTCTTCTGCTAGAAAATTCGGCAAACAGAGCTTTTCCGCCTCAAGTGAGCTTAGATAATTTAAAATATCTTTGTTATCTTCTGCCCCCTCATAGCCCACACGCTTAGCGAAAATAAGGTGGACATTAGGAATATCGGGTGTTCGCAGATATACGCCGGACATAAGAATCGCTTTGTGAAAGAGGCCCTCGCATTTTGGTGTCAGCGTCAGCAATTGTGCGGCGGCACTTCCTGAGCTGTTGCCGCAGAGAGTAACGTTGTTGGGGTCACCATTGAAATTTATGTAATTGTTTTTGAGCCACTTCAGCGCCATTACAACATCCTTGAGGCCAGCATTGCCAGGAACTTGCAGCTCTGGTTCGGGAAGACTGAGAAAACCTGGGAAAAAATAGGAAGTGGTTTTTGTTAAAGGCAGCACTTTTATTTGTTTTCTCGATCTGCTCAGGGTGATATGACAACGTTAACTTAGGGGTATCGGACAGGGTTAAGTGGCTCAGAATAACCGATTTTCATCTACAAATTTGTCATTTTACTACAAATTTTTTTCAATAAATCAATCCTATTTCTGCTCTTAAATTTACGCTTTAGATCATCGAAAATATAGTTTCCAAGACATTTTGCCCTCAGTTTTGCCAGTGTTGGCCAATAGCAGAGTAGATGTTCGATGGTTTCCCCCTCCTCTTCGTCCATGTAATTTTCTTGTTGCCGCAATGGCCTGGGACCGAGACTATGTGTGAGCGAAATCTTCCACCCACCTCTTTAAGAAATCGATGGAATTGAACGACTACATTTGATGTCAGTGTTATTTTTCACAGTGCACCACTGACATTGCCTTTGTTAAAGACATTGGTGCCAAGAAGGCGTGAGCAGAAAGATGCACTTAATTGTTCCGAAATTGTTCAAATTTTGATCTATCCGTGGAAACATGGATCTATTTTTTTCCCCTGAACATGTTCAATGTCTACTCTTTCCTTGAAGAGAGATTGGTCATGAACTGAGTGTTGATGGTGTGAGTGTGTGGAATGTAGTTGACTGGAGGAAATCCAATAAGGTTTGATAAAATTCTACAGTGATCGATGTATGGGTGCATCCATTTCTAGGTCGCGTTAAGCCTGAGGGCAGTGCGAAGGGCATACAACCTTTCATCGATGTTTAGAAAAGACGAAAAATCTCCTGTCGGCAGGCAAACAGGGCATATGTAAGTGTCTCAGCACCCATGTCTTTGTTGACGGTTACACGTTCGAAAAAGTTAGACGACTTCGTTTATTTAGGAACCAGCATTACGAACGAAATGTAATGCCAGCCTTGAAATCCTACAGAGAATCCTCTCTCAACGTACAAAAATCACGCGGAAGAATTGTCTATAAAAACATCTGAGAGAAAGATTTACGGTCTTTGCGCGTGGTCGATGGCGAATACCACAGAGGATGCGCATTTTTTTGACAAAACAGTCTACCAGTTCTGCTTTTGTTTACTAACGCGAGCAGAGTCTTTCAGGGTCCAATATACTTTTAATGAATTATGTCTATAATATTTACACATATTTAGTTACATCTATATACTCACCCAGCGCTCCCAAACGATAGGTCATAGTAACGAATATAACATCTTTCATCATAAAATAGTCTGGTCCCCAAGCCAGACGAGATGCACTGCCTGTTGCGAAATTACCACCATGTATGTAGACCATAACCGGCAGAGGTTTTTCAGATTTTAGCTATAGAATATATGAAGGTAGTTATTTATAAAATATTACTATTTTTTACCTTTTTTGCATAGATATTCAAGTACAAGCAATCCTCAGAGCCTTCAACGCGATCAGTATAGCGATTGTATTGGATACATTTGGGTGCCACTACGGTGCAATCGCGTACATCCGGCCATGGTTCAACTGGTTGTGGCGACTTAAAACGCAAATCTCCCAATGGTGGCTTGCCATATGGTATGCCATCGAAGCAATAATATTTATCACCATAGACTGTTTCTCGCAATTGTCCACGCACCAGACCGTGAGTGGTGGAAATGATAGGTTGTTCAACATTTCTTGCAATCCTGAGAGATATTTAAGGGTTAATTTCCTAACTAAATAAGATACAAAATACTGTTTGCCGCTTTAAATGAAAGTGATCTTTCAGACACAGTTTCAGCTATGTTGGTAACCGTTTTTTTTTTGTTTAGTATTAAGTTATCGCACTTTTTACGAGCAATGTACGAGTATGTATATTAAGATGGTCCGAAAGCCAAGTAAATTCGGAATTCTAATGCTCTCACCCGCTAGCATTGTTCTGTAACGAACAAAATTATACCCTTGTTGTTTTTTTTATTTTGAAAACAAAAAATAATTAGAGATCGCTCAAAGTTTTCCATGTATTTTATATGGAGAAAAGCAATTTTTCGTAGAAATGGTATAGAATTGGAAAACTTTGTTTCTCTTTAGCAGATTTCCAGTAATAATATCTATTGTTTGTTTAACATTTTTTATATTAACTTTCTTTCTATTTTAACTATTTTTATAGGTTCCCTAAAAACCCCAAAAACGCAATGGGGGGCAAGTAAAAATCGCTGGTATTAAAAATTGGTAAAATAAACAACTAGGTGTTCTAAGCACTTCAAAGTTTGCAGGTCTGACAGTATTTACAAGAAAAGCTGTTTTCGCCATTAATGAACCGTTTGTAAGGTGTCGCACAGTGGGCCGCCTCATACAAGTTAGCCGGAAAATAATATCTTATTGCTTCAGATGCTTAGATTTGTTGTAGAAAGTGGCCATACAAAAATTTACCTTGATCAAGGATCGATTAGATGACACCAGAGGTCCTTTGAAGAGGGTTTGTAGCAAAAACGGGCACCGTTCTCTTGAAAGGATATAACTTCCTCTAATCCAGAAAAGTTTGGCCCCATTGTACAGGGGGCGGCCATATTACATACAGACTAAAATGTGAAAACTGATGTATCTCTAAAACCAAACACGCTGGGGAACTGAAACTTGGCACGAATGCATAAACTGTAAGTACCCTATTTAAGGCGAAAACTTATAGGTATTGCAAAAGGGGGAGTGGCACTTCCAATACAAACTGAAATTCTCATATCGCTTATCTCTGGAACCGCTTTCGCTCACATCCTGCATTTCGAAATAGCTACATACATATATTAACAATACCGTACTTATGGCGAAAAGTGGTAGACTTTGGAAAAGGGGGCGTGGCATCTCCCATACAAACTGAATTCCAAATATTGCTAACGTACTTATGGCGAAAAGTGGTTTGTATTGGAAAGGGGGATGTGGCACCTCCCATATAAAACGCAATTTATTGTTGAGAAGGTTATGGATACACCTACATCTTCAAATCAGAAAATGGCAAGAATCATTCAATTGGGAAGAATTTTCTCCCAGATTTCAAAACCGTATTGAATGATTTTATTTTGTGGCAAGGTTATTAATGGTCACATTTGCTTCATCTTTCGAATACTTGGTACCCAAACGTGTGATGCAAAAATATTAATTTATGACCCATTTCCGACAAAAACCGTGTGAACACCTTCGAGGTACTTTCTTAACTTCTACCGATTGATGAAGAGAATGAGAAGTTCATGTATATGTTAAAAATATAGTTTTTAACCTTCCCAAGAGCTCTGAAACCAATTTAATCGAAAAACGTATTTACAGTTTAAATTAATTGTAAAGCTTTACACTGCAAAGAAAGCACTATTTCAAGTTTGAATGTAAAATTGTTTAATAGATTCAATTATTTTGTAATGAATATATAACTTATAACAACATCTTTGTTTTTTTTATATATAGTCTCACATAAAAATTTTAAGAAAAGTAAAATGACAGAACAGTGTTTAGATTGTCCAAAAACTCTCGACTTTGTTCATATATTTAGACGAAATAACGCCTAATTTTGATACATTACTCTAGCTACGTCCCTCATCACATATTAACTGTTGTTGTTATTTCATAAAAAAGAGCATCGTTTTCTATGCCAAATACATTCTTTTTAGTGTTCTGGCATATCACTGTGATAAACAACACACCATTTTTTTAAAATGTCTATTTGATTTGTGTAATTTTTAGAAAACAAAGTTGCAAAACATCAAATTTGACCTAGAAAAAAACTACTAAAGTGGGTTTTAAAATACCTAAGGAAAATTTTTTCTATATAATTGCACATTTCTTAAAAAGTGGAATTATCAAAAAATTAAAATTCCACTCTGATTTTTTCCGGCTAATGTCGTCATATGGCCCATTGTGTGTCGTACGGAAACAGCTTCTTGTAAATTCCTATAAATTCCTGCAAATCGTGAAGCACCTGGAACAGGTGTGTTTCAACACGCGCCGCATATGATTTTTGTTGGAAAAGCTACTATTTAGGTACTGTATGTTCTTACTTTCGAGACATATGTAACTAGTAGAAGGAGCTGAGCATTTTCAAATCAACTTTTTCGTTATCAATATATCATCAAAATTTTAATGGAAATAGCCTTTAAGAATAAAAAAAATCGTCTGAAAGTGATCACTTGCACTTTTCACGTAGTAAGTAGCATCTGTTTATTTACTTACCCTGCACCCATTATGAATGTAACTGCTCCACTTTCCGACGAATATTTAAAATAAAGTCGCGCTTCTAGTAGGATTTGATGCTTTTCTTCCTACATTCACTTAACTTTTAATTTAAAGAATAAATTTAGGTACCAGTAAAGAACTGATTGCCAAATAAAAATGGTGATTCTAGCATAAAAACCGTCAGATTAGTTGTGAAGAGATAAGATTCTTGCATATCTTAAAAAATATGCGAATTAAAAATGTCTGTTTGAGGATTATAAAATTTGGGTGTTTAGCGAGTTCGGCACACATTCACAGTGCGTAGGTCTTTGAACTTTGATCATTCTGTTATCGAAAACAAAAGAGATGGTGCGTAGATGCGAGTTAATGACTCGTTAAATTTTCTTCAGATTAGCAATAACTATCATCAACTAGAATAATAAAGCTATACCGATAGGTGACTTTAAAGTATCTACATAATACGAGTACTTATACGGATATGTTGAACTTAAATGCGAATGAGCTTTTGTGCTGTTTCGTGACATAATCCGCCACTTCGTATGCAAATGTGGTTAAAGCGCTGACACATGCCAATTGGTCAGAGGCCCAGAAACTATCAGAGCAGTAAACTTCTCCAGGTGAACCTAAACCAAAGAAGGCAAGGTTCATCCATAAGCCAAAGGTAAGCTTTCAATAGACTCGAATATGTGGTTGGTCCGAAGCGGTGACGAAAAGCTTAATTTTTTGTGAGGAAAGAGCCGTTCGATCAATCGCGATGGAAATGGTATTACATTCGCACGAAAAATTCTGGTCTAAGAAAGAAGAGGCTTCGTAAACGGTGGAAAAACAAAGATTGACAATCAGCCCAATCCTAAAACACCCTCGAAGTTTTCTCTCTGCTGTTAAGTTTCTACCGAGAGTAAACTCTTTAAATATAAACTCTTCGGGAAAGGATTTTTTTTTTTTTTCTGAAATTGTGAGACAGTTGTCAAATCTGGCAATCGAGGATCCGTTAGCGTTATGCTGTTCGCCTTTTAGCAATCATATTTTTTTTTAGTTAAATTAAATTAACTGATAAATATACATTTTTCGTTTTAAAACAATAAAAATTACTAGATACAAGAAAATTAAATTAGAAAAAATAAAAATTAAATTAATAAAAGAAGAAGGAAATAGTACTTAAAAATTAAATTAGATTAAAAATAATTTTATTAAAAAAAAGACAGAAACAAACAATAATTTAAATTTAATAAGATCGTAAAAATTAAACTCATTTAAAAACAATAAAGTCTGAAAGATTAAAAGAAAATGAAAATAACAAAAGAATTGATAACCAATTAAATAAAAAAAGAAAAGATAACAAAAAAAAATTTCTTAATAGTATATGCAATTAAAAACAAAATTTTGTCTTTTCTATACAAACTTAAAAAAAATTGACTGAAAAACAAAAAAAAAGTTTATGAAAAAATAAAAGAAACTTCTAAAAATGAAATGAAAAATATTCTTTTTAAATAACAACTAAACCATTAAAGAAAATTATGTCGAAAAAGAAAAGAAATACATAAAATTAGTTCCTAAAATTTAAATTAAATTAAAAAATATATATGAATTTGTTTTAAATTAAAACATCTGAAAAATTAAATTGAAAAAGAAAATATCTAGATAAAAAAAAAAATAAAAAATATTCGTGATTTTGCTAGAATAACAAAAGTCTTTCGATCTACGAAAGACTTTTTGCTAACTTAGCCAGAATTGCACCATAAATAGAAGCGAACTCTTTTTCGATGAAGCGTTATTCCATGGCCAAATTTTTTTCCACCCTCTATTGTAAAAAGCTATTTAGATCAAATAAAAAACCGACCAGACTTGATTAACAGAAAAAGTTTTGTGCTCCCATTATCACAGCGCCGAACCACACGAAAAACTAAAAACGCTTGGTTGGGAAGTTCTGATGCATCTACAAAATAACTCGAATCTTTTTCCATTGGTTTCACATCTGTTTCGGTCTCAATAGAGCTCCCTTAGTGGTGCTGAATTTACTTGTGAAAACGCCACTGAAAACTATTTTAATCAGTTTTCATTCAAGAAGTCAGTAAAATGCATCAGAAAATATTTTGAAATGAAACTTTTAATATAAATTATTTGTTTGACAAATTAAATCTTTTTGCATAAAGCTTCATTTTAAATATGGCATTCTCTATTGACTTTGGGCGCATCCACACAGAAAGCCGAGCGGGCGGAGCAAAGCAAGGCGCAGCAAAGGGAAGCGGCCGGTGTTCACACTAAATGAAGCGAAGTAGTGCTTTCCCATCGATTTAGCTGCAAAGATACCCCAAAATTTACCGTCAACTAAAGCAGAAAAATATTTGCTTAATTTTCTCCAAACGATAAGTTGTAAAATTGGTTTGTATTTATTTGAATATTTTGATTTAAACTAGAACTTTCGACTACCATCCCTTCACCTTGACCTGATGGTCACTTATCCTCAAATGGGATATGTCATTTCTGCCTCTAGCAATTTCCACTTCACTCCCCACTATAGCAATAAAGCCCCATTTCTTTTAAGCCAACAGGTGGCTTTAAGGGCCTCCGGTGATAAGACACCAAGTTTTACCAAAGGCCGGTTAATATTTTCAACGCTCTGTAGGTCCTTTGATCAATGTGATAATTCGATAAAATTCTACTATCTAGGATTACACCAAAACAATTTACTAATGAATAGCACAACGCTAGTTTTTGACTGGGTTAGCCAGTTTTATCAAGTTAATTGTCAGCCAACTTGTAAAAAGCTTTCCACTTTACTACTTTGTAGTTAATTGTTTCTATTTGCAATGAAACTAAAGAATAAATATACTCATTCGCTAAGCTTTGTAGTGTTGATAATCAGCTTATAACTCAAGCAGGCCTATGATAAGACCTTTTTGAATGCTCATACTAATATTTACCCAGTCTGCCTGTTAAGAGAGCACTTTAATTATGAGCAAGATAATATATAATGTAATACATATTTAGAGATTTGGGCGAGTTCAATAAAATACGTCAATCGTTTCTCTTCTGTGCCAAGTGAAGCCAATAGGAAATGATAAATTAAGCCGAGAACTTCGCAACTTGGTGATTATGCTGCAGACCAGGCCTTCCTGTTCCTTTTCTACTATCAGCGGTTACCGCGTTGGAGAATTTTTGTCCATTTATTATGCTGGAACCTCGGACTCTAAAGACTACCATGTTTCGGGTGCCAGCGAATTCGATCAGTCTCGTTGGATTATAGGATATAAAGGGACCATTGCGTAGTCTGGTCTCTCTCTCTCTTGAAAAGGCTACACTAGACAAACATATAAAGGCTACAGGTTGCATTTCAACCCTGATCGCACAGATTACTGCGCCACTGAAATGGCTGGAATGCTCACATTCTCTGAAGAGAGGACTGGACTTGGCGGAACTTATGGAGAGGGAGAGCAGTGAACTTCCTTGCGGATGGAACGAATTGGACGGCAGGGTTGGTGGTGAGGTGTTCTACCGTGTGTTTTCCATCAGCACTAAGTTCAGGCTTCGGGACAGCTGCTGTGTATTCCAGGCGAAAGTGGAGGTGATGCAGTCACTGCTCCGGAATCCGGTGACAGCCAAGGAGGAGAGCATTTATCCTGATAGCCAAGCGACTATCAGGGTCTTAAGTGCGTTGGGGGTGCGCAACAACTTGGTTAAAGAATGTCTGCTTGCCCTCTCGGTAGCGTCGTCTGATTTGGATTCCGGACCACAGCGACATTGCGGGAAAAAATGTGGCTGACGTATTGGCTAGGAAAGTTATTCATGAAACATTATCGCCGGATAAAGAACGGACGGACGTACCATTGATCGCTTGTGGTGCACTCTTGGATAGAGGGGTCTCATGTCAGCTCAGCGAGCGTTGGGAGAAAACCAGGATATGCACGATTACAAGGTCCTTCCGAGGAGCTCCAGGGCACTGAGATTAGACGAATTCGTAAATAGATAATCGACTCGAGGTTTTTATTGATTAAGTATTGGGTGCTGTTCAAAATGTGGTATTACTAAGGATAATCTCCTTATTGTCTATGTGAGTCTCTGTCATACGGGGCTGCCACCTAACCTAACCTACCAAAAAAAAACGCAGATACAAAGTGTAATGAAAACGAAAAAATATTTAAAGAACATGTCGGCCATATGGGATCCTCAATTTAATCCTACTTTAACAAAAGAAAACTTATGTTCCTAAAATAACCGTAAACCTGCTTCTTTATAGTAGTGATCCCACTCTGCACAAATCTTCGCTTCCGGCCACTCAATAAAGCTTAGTTTATCACTTATGTTAAGACAGTATCGTGGCTCCGCAGGTTTCAGTGGCATCCAAACTAAGGGTTTTATGTTTTCCCCATTTGGATTTGAGGTAGCAGCAAATTTGGTAATCCAGTTCACCATGCATTCGATCATCTGAAATTCTTTCGAATCGCGTTTCAGTTTGAAAGACGTGGGTAGTAAAAAAATATAAGAAAGTTCATCTACATGCGAAACACCGCGCAGTCCATGGCCGCAATGCTTTATGCGAAATAAATTAAAATCAGCAGAGTCAAAGTCAAAGCGATAGAGGTAAGTGTGTGCCGTTGCATTGGCAAGACGTGATTGCAGAAAACGATGTATGGGATGATACATGAAATCGTAGGAATTCATCTGTAATGGCGTTTTGTTAATAAACAAAAGTATGCGCATTTTATAAATAGACAATACTTACGCGCATAACATCAAACGCCTGCTCAACACACAATTCTTTCGCGCCCAAATGCAATCGAATTAGTTTTCGTGCTAATTGCTGCTTCGTTGATAAATCACACTTATCACGCACTTCAAGTGACATCAAGTATTCCGGATGCAATCTCAAGGTGTCATATAATTTCGGATTGTTCGTGAAATATTTGTAATGCATTAGTGATTCGAACGAATTACTGCCCA